TGTGTGTGCTGCTAGAGGGAGAAGAGGAAGAGGAAAAGGAAGGAAAAGAAGTAGAAGCAGGAGGAAAGAAGGAGAAGAAGAAAACCCCTGTGCTGACACCATCCCCTGTCGTTCTTGGGACGCTGGAAGAACAGATCATCTCTCCCTTCAAGGACTGTGCTACAGACTGTGCCTGTCAGCTTTGCAGCCTGAGTACCGTGGACTAGGTGAGATCCCAGCGTTCTCTGTCTTCTTTCTAGGCATAAACTTCTGAACCTGAACTGTATCAGTTAAGCTTGAGCTAAGTTTCCCCAAATACTTAGTGAAACCAGGGTAGTATTGTCATTGTTGGTGTTTGTTTTTCTTTTGCATGTCTATTACTACTAGTACTATTATATATTTCATATGCTTAGCAATAAATAACTTTTATAGTCAAACTGGTAGTAATTGGGTATATTTTTCCTTCTCTGCTTCTCTTTCCTCCCGTGCTCTGCAGCAACGCTTCTTTTACCTATGCTAAAGATCCCTGTGAAGCCCAAATTATTGTGGGGTCTGCTCATCAAGAGGCCAAAGATTGGGACGTGCTGAGTTTGAAACACATAAGGGGATCAGCTTGTATAGGCTGATTGACCCAGTTTGACTCAGACGTGCCCTTATGAACTGAATGCTGGCCCATGAGGGTGTCAGCTGGACACCCAGCCGGATTCAGAGGGATTCTGTTTACCTGTGTGCTTGTGTCTGACTGCATTTTATTGTTGCTCTTATGAACTGATTCTTGGCATATGAGGGTGTCAGCCTGTCCATGCTGATCAGCCCGGCCAGGTCAGGCGTGTCACGTTAATTTGTGTGTGTTTGTGTGTATGACTGATTTGGTGACTGGAGGAACCCAGTCCCATTGAGATTGAGTCCTGCAAGATAGCTCCACTGGGGGTGAGGGCTTGCAGAAGGGAGAGATACAGCTCCATATAGTAACACAAGCACCACATTGACAGAATCACCAAGACCCTAGAAACTATCCCTAATAAATGAGCACACCCCAAAGTAATGGGCAAATTTGGTAACAGGTCCCCCCTCAGCCTCCTCTTGCTGAGGCTGAACAGGTTCAGGTCCCTCAGTCTCTCCTCGTAGGGCCGGTCTTGCTGCCCTCTCACCAAGTGGGTGGCCCTCCTCTGAACCCTCTCCAGGCTGGCCACATCCCTTTTGAAGTGTGGCGCCTAGTATTGGATGCAGTACTCCAACTGCAGCCTGACCAAAATCGCATAGAGAGGGAGGTTCACCTCTCTGGACCAGCTTGAGATGCACCTTTGGATGCACGACAAGGTATAGCTGGCCTTGCTGGCTGCAGTCTGGCATTGGCAGCTCATTTTCATTCTTTCTGCCTCTGTGCTTTCAAGAAGGGAACTCCCCAGCCTGTATGTATGCTGTGGATTCCTTCTCCCCAGGTGCAGCACCCTACATTTGTCTATGTTGAACCCCATCCTGTTCTTGCCTGCCCACTTTTGTAGTCTGTCTAAATCTAGTTGCAGCCTCTCTCTCCCTTCAAGTGTGTCCACCTCGCCCCACATCTTAGTGTCATCAGTAAACTTGGACAGCGTGCTTTCCACCCCCTCGTCCAAGTCGCTGATGAAGATGTTAAACAGTGTGGGCCTGAGGACCGAGCCCTGGGGGACCCCACTGCTCGTATCTTGCCAGGTTGGGTACAACCCGTCCACCACTACTCTCTGGGTGCGCCCCATCAGCCAATTTTTTACCCATCCAACTGTGCAGACATCAATGCCACAGTCGCTTAATTTATTGATGAGGATGGGGTGAGAGACAGTGTCAAAGGCCTTCTTAAAGTCTAGAAAGACTATGTCCATGGCGACACCATCGTCCAAGGATTTAGTTACTTGGTCATAAAAGGCAATCAGGTTGGTCAGGAAGGTTTAAATCTCCTTCCTCCCCACTGCTCTGTCAGTAATAATAAGGCCTCTCTCACATTTCATATTTATATATATATATATATATATATATGTATATATGCTACTTCATTTGATTCAGCAAACTTCACTTGAGTCTTTCCCATTCCTGTAACTCCTGGTGTTTCCATATTCAGCAGTTTCTTAGGAACGTGATCTCCCTTTGTCTTCTCAGCATGTTTATATTATCTTGTAACAGGGAATTTAGTGCTCTTGTTACTTAAAGAGGAGAAAGACTGTAGACAGGGCTTGGGGGGGGGGGGGGGGCCACTTGGATCTGATGTGCGCTCATGGGGGGTTGGACTAGATGACCTCCTGAGGTCTCTTCCAGCCCTCATTGTCTATGATTCTATGGTTCTCCTGGATGTCTCAAACTCAGCTATTTATGCCTAATGATCAAATTCCCCTCGAACACCACTTGCTTACTTCTATCCTGTGGGGGTCTCCTCCCTTGGAAGAATACCCTGGTGCAAGAGGCCGCTGTCATCAGCTGGCAGGCAGGTCCCATTTAAGGGATAGCTTTCCTCCTTCCCATCTTGATGCTGACCACCCCTGAGGCTCTCATTCTCAGTAGCATGGGGGCTGCCACAGTGAAGGTGGGACTGCTGTACAGTGTCCCTGAAAGCTTCATCTATGATCATCACTGCCTCCCTTAGCTGCTCCAGTTCCACCACCCTAGCTTGTTCTCTCAGAATTATAAACTCGTTGCACTAGTGCAAACACACACACACAAAACCTGCCCCTGGGGCAGGTAATCATACATGCTACACTCAGTACAATAAATTGGTAGTCTCCTGCCTGCATTTTTTTAAAGCATTAAAACCTTCCTGCTCTTTTAGTTAGTTTTTGTAATGTATGGGTTCTTTTTTATTAGAAACTTGAACTTATGGATTGACCTTCTCTCTAACCTTATTCAGCCTTAATTGCAGTTAAATATTACATAATGGACAATATTAAACATGTATTGAGATGTAAAACAATATCTAAATGCTAAATGTATGTTACTTTATCTAGATCTCTAGGTTAGTTATTCTTAATGCTCAATTAAAGGAATAACTTGCCTTAATAGCTCCCCTTCAAGGAGGGGGGCAGTCAACTGGCCTGCAAACTGTTTGCAAACTGCCTAGTTGGCTCTCCCTTTCCCTCAACTGCTTTCCTTTCCTGCTGTCCTAGGTCAGGGCTGGTTCTGTCTGCTATTTAAGGCCTTGTCAGCCCAGAGGCAGCAATCACTTAGCAAGCAGCACTCACCAACTAGTCAGAGCACACAGCCCAAACACCAACAGACCCAGTGGCCATGTCTACATGAAACGCTGACTGCGCAGTAGCTTGTTACTACTGCCCAGTAGCATCATGTGGTGTGAAGTCTGATACAGGGCTACTGTGCAGTAGTAATGAGCTACTGTGCAGTCAGCATCACCAAACAGCCATTTGGGAACACTACTGTGCAGTCACTCCAGTTACTGTGCAGTCATTTAGTACTTGTATGTGCAGCCAGTGAATACTTAATTCTTCCAGAAAAAAAGTGATATAGCTTTAATCGAAGACACTGAGGGAGGCCCTCACAGAAACATCACAGGGCTTGGTGGTCAAAGTGCTGGTTTGAGAGGTGGGGGGGTGCATGTACCCTCCCCACTTAGGACGTGACGTGCAATCTCCCACATCTTGCACAAATGCTTCAGTCATCTGTTGAGCCAAAGCGGCACCCCCACTTTCTTCTCTGGCCACTTTGAAACAAAGGACTTTCCCCTCCTTTGTTTCTGAAGGAAAGACCCTTCCATAAGGGCAGTCATAGATGTTGAGCCTGAGCAGAGGCAGGCACCTAAGCCCCAGAGAAGGCAGGGGCTCAAGCTGCACCTGTTCCTTCAGCTTTACCTCCTGTCCATCTCAGGTACTTAACATGAGGGCGAGAACTCTCCCAGACAACAGGGCACCTAACAGATGGGCTTTGCTACCTCAAAGTCCCCTTCTATGTCTTGCACATTGTCTGATTTATGATGTCGTAAGATTCCATCACCATGGATATGTGCAATTAAGCAAGGCTGGCCTGACTAGCATGTTCAGAATCCAGCCAGTTGCTAAGAGTCTTCAGGGTTTCATTAGCAGAAATTATCAGCCTAACAGCTCCAGGGAGTGCCTGGACAGAGAAACAACCTGGAACTTTATTACCATTTCAGAGTCGAGGAAAGCAAAAGCATTGAAGTCAGTGACTTTTCAAAGAGATGCTTCAGGTTGGGGGTGTGGAGAGTGGCTTTCAGACACCCAGGTGGAGTTCTGTAGCTGATGCCCTACTTCCATCATATGCCTGGGAACATTTGGGACCCCAGTGAGTCCCTTCTTTTCCTAAAACAGGGTACTTAGAGAATATCTGTCCTTTCCACAGCTCTTACTAGAGCCTGTACTATTTTAACTTCGGATCCAAATTAGCTCTTAATCCCAGTTTGCTAAGGAAGTGAAGATGGCAGGAGCCCACAGGTTGTAAATTAAGCACTTGCAGGCTGCATGTGGCTTGCAGGCCATGAACTGGACAGTGCTGTTGTAGCAGAGTGATGGGGCAGCAGCAGCCAGGCAGGAGCTTGAGGCCACAAGCCCTCACAGTTGGACAGCCCTGGCTTATCTCATCAGCTGTGTAGTAGAAAGAGCACTTTGGAGTCCTTACATATGATCCCTTCTATAGAGAAATTATTACCTATGGGACTTGGGACCTGCATATGGATCCTAGTTTTCTCCCTATTAAAATCCAAGTTCTCAGATAAAAATGCAAAGTTCTTTGATTAAAACCCTCCAAATCCATGTTTTTCCACAATTAAAATGAAATGCCACTATATATGTAGGCATCAGTTGAACACAATGTTTTATTGTTATATTTACAATTTTAAAGTAATTTGGAAGCCTACTAGTGCCTCAATCAGTATAATAAAATAAATTCTAAATATCTATATATTTTGGCATTTGATTTTGGTTTTATCATGGAAAAATCAGAGCTCCCTTTGCCCCCTTCAATCACCAGGACATGGGTCCAGCTGCAGCTGTCCCCCCTGCTGCTTTGTAGATGCTAGGGTCGGATCAGCCCTGATATGCCGGTGCCTTGCTCTTGCCACTGCTGGGACCCCCATGCCACCTGTGCCACCAGCAGTGCAAGGAGTAACAGATGGGTCGTAATGGCAGTGGTAGAGCTGTGGGCTAGTGTGCAAGTGGCTGGCAGCAGGAGGAGGCGAGAGCAGTGTAGCCTCCCCCTCACCCCGGCCCATTACTCCTTGCACTGCTGGCAGCGCAGCTGGCATGAGGGTCCTGGCAGTGGCAGCAGCAATAAGTCTCGCCACCCTGCTCCATCCTTCTGCTCTGGGTCCTGCCCGCTGGGCCACAGACGTGGCTCCTGCCTGTGTTGCTCCAGCCAGGCTGCAGCTGTGCCCATGGTGGGTGACAAATCCGGGGGGGGGGGCATGTGCCTCCCCACGTCGCCCATGTCCCCCTGCCCCTCCAATGCATCACCTATGCCCCCCGCATAGACATACCTGCAAGGAGCTGCTCTCCACCATGCTGCCTGGCTGCCACGTGCATGTCAGTGCGCACATGGCACTCTCTGCCTGATCGCCCTCTCCTGCTCCCCCCAGCCTTAGCAGCCCCTCACAGGCTGGAACTCTGGCAGTCTGCAAGGGGAAAACTGCCATTTCCTGCATTTTTTTCCTTTAAAGGAGAAAATCTACATTTTTCTTTGGCACATGGAAAACCTGGATCCCTGAAGATCAGGCATCAGCTGAGGAATGATTTGGGGATGTCACCGACATCCTCAGTTTTAGAGCAGGTGCCCAAAGAGATAGTAAGATACACTCAGAATCTTTGGGGCTTTTAGCCAAAAGTCTTTACCAAGCTGTACCATGTGTCAACAAGCTGAAACACTCCAAACTTTTTCATGGGAACTGCAAGACACACCTCTTTCACCCTCCCCCTATCCCCCAGTCAAATATTAAGCTAATGCTCCAAATGCTAGAAATAGTAAAGCTGACAATTCTTGTTCTTTCACATTTGGGGAGCTGCATATTCTCGACTAGCTTGGCACGACAAGCTGTTTTCAAATACCACCTATCAAACTTTTGCACACATATACAACTCAACCTTAAGCAGAGACCAAGCCTGAAAATGCAATGCCAGACTGTTAAAAGCTTCCTAGTCATAATCAAATGGGGAATGGGTTATTCAATCGTAATATGAGAGACCCTCAAAGCTTCAATTCTGTTGCCTTTTACAGCACCTGGTGCTTCAGCGTAGAACATGGCGTCCAAGAAGCGGCAGCCAAAACAGGGAGTTGCAGATCTGAGGAAAAGCAAACAAGGCACAAACAGCAAGAACAGTGAACGGCCCCATGCAAGTTGCAGCACAGACCTGCTTGTCACCGAGAGGGAACGGTACCTGCAGAAGGAATGCGAGGTCCTGACTGAACAGATAGACACGTACAAGAAGAGAGTGGAGCACTTCCTGCAGGAGAACGAGTTTCTGGACAAGGAGGCACAGCAGATGCAGCAGAACAGTAAAATCTATACCACCTACATGAGGAAGCACACTCAGAAGTGCCAGGACGCTGTCGTGATGCTGAACGACCAGAACCACTCTGATCTGAGCGCCGTGCACAGGCAGAAGGAGCAGATGGTTGCGCGTTACTCCGAGGAGGAGAGGAAGCTGAGAAAGAAGCTAATGGAGCTGGAGACAAAGTCCGCGCTCATGAGCAGGGAGGTCAGGGACTTGCAGCCCTACAAGGACCTGCAGCTGGAGCAGCTGATCAGGGTCAGGGAGCTGGAGAAGGAGCTCCTGCTCACAAAAATCCAGCACACGGAGCAGATGCACAAGGTCAAGAGCAGGTTCCTGCAGGCCAAGTCTGACTACACGGCTGCGTCCCGGCAGAAGGTGCAGGCCCTGGCCAAGAGCGCGGAGGAGGCGGCCGTGCGCTGCCTCATCCAGCACATCAGGCGGGTGAAGGCCGAGAACTGGCGCCTGCGCAGAAGGAGCTCCTGCTCACAAAAATCCAGCACACGGAGCAGATGCACAAGGTCAAGAGCAGGTTCCTGCAGGCCAAGTCTGACTACACGGCTGCGTCCCGGCAGAAGGTGCAGGCCCTGGCCAAGAGCGCGGAGGAGGCGGCCGTGCGCTGCCTCATCCAGCACATCAGGCGGGTGAAGGCCGAGAACTGGCGCCTGCGCCACCAGCTGCTGGGTCTCCTCCGGCGCTCCGGCGTCCTGCGGGCCTACCAGCACCAGCTGCGAGCGCGGCAGCAGCAGCTGCTCCG